AATAATTTCTCAAAAATTGATATACAGGGCCATGTATAAAATAATAATTTAATATTAATGTCGAATAATTGGTTCGTCGGTTTCCCGACGAGACGATATATTTTTCATGCAATTGACATTATATTTTTTCCTTTATTGCAGATTTTTTCCCTTTCCCATAAATAGTGCAGAGATTTTTTTAAAAATTAATTTTGTTATTGGTTTACACAGAGAATGCCGTGCAATGATACATTGACCTACACCAGAGTATAGATTTTCGTTAGTAAGAAAAAAATTCAAGATATAGGGGATTTTAGTGGCCAAAATTTTTTTTTCCCATTAAGAGTTTAGTTTTAGTGTTTTTTCCGAGAACTCTCAATGCTCTGAGAGATAATTGAGTTAATATATTAATATAATTTGTAGTGTTATAACAATAAATATATTTTGAACAACATTCTATTTTCTTTTTAAATTTTAATAAAATTAAAGATCAAATTGAATTCAGATCAAAGAGAAAAGAGAAACTATTTCAAAGAATGCTAACATCACCAACTTAAGCTTTAAAATTAAAATTACATCCTCGTTAGTTTAAAAATTTTACAACACATTCTACCGCCATGCAAACATCAATGAGCAAATCCATTGTATGGATGTGTAACTTAGCATAGACGACAATATCAGTTGCAATAATAACATTCTCAAAATCAGAAAATAAAAATTTCATATTAATAATATAAATCATTTATACTTACATATTTTTTCTTTTCCCACCATTTTTAAAGATGATCATTATACGGTTTTTATTATAAAGAATAAAAAGAAAATATTATAACATCATATAAAATTATAAAATCTTTACACACACATATACACACATAATATATTTATAAAGGACATTAACATGATATTATTACAGTCAGTCAGTCATTAAGACGACCATTGAACGTCAGACTTTTTATTATTTTATATGCTATCACTATATAGGTATAAGAGATGTTATTGCCTTTAATAAATATAGGGATATTGTTATACGTCTGTGTTATATTTCTGATAATTTTATGTGTTTGTAGATTGGTATTATACTGAAAGCGCGATAATTTCTTTCATGTGACAAGGACATTCGATTTTTTAAACTTTAATAATGATAACAAGTTTTTTTTTTTCATTTATTTATAGTTTTTGTTCTGTTTTGTGTGCATTATGTACACTTCCGTTCTCTACTTTATTCCCTTATTTTTTCCATATTTATATACATTTTAAAGTTTTGTATATAATGACTGACACTAACGAGCTGATAATAAAATGATACCTTGTATATAATATATTAATAAAAATTGCATATTATACAGGGTGATTCAGCAACATATTAAGAGCCATACGAGTATATACGGACATGGGCAGATAGTCGAAAAGGATTAAAATTTTTAGTTCGAAATATAGCGCCAAGTCGGAACAGTTTCGGACCTACACGAATTTTTTTTAAGTTTTTTTGCTTATAACTTCCGTTTTAACAGATAGAAGCTTCAAACGAACAGGGCTATTAGAGGGCTTCAAATTAGCGCGTTGCCAAATTACATGTTTTTTTTTCGGAAATATAAACATTCTAACTTTATGAACCGATTTTTCTCATATCTTTTAACATTCTAATTTTTTTTCATTGACAATTAATCGCTTTGCCTTGACAGAACTTCGCTTGAATTTAAGTCACTTAATGTTAAAATATTTTATAGTGCAGGAGATATTGCAAAAAAATCATTTGTATTTCAAGATTTTTATAGACTTTAACAAAAAATATAAGCTCAAGCAATTATTAAAGTTTTTGCTTTTTATTAATTTTAAATGTTATAAATCTCAACTATTACTATTTTTCGATTAGGAAAATCATTCTTAAGCACAGTTGACATTTCTAAGAACGTTATTGTAACAAAATTCAATTTTAAGATTTTTATTGAAATACCAAAATTTTAGATAACCGCTGGTGTATGGGCTCCTAACTTTATGCTGAATTACCTTGTATATAATGTGCAAATACGTATATCGTAAAAGATTACTAAGATTGTAATTTCAACTTCTTTTCAAATAAAAAGAGCAAAAAATAACAGCATCCTGTGAAATGTTTCTTTTCTATCATTTTTAATACTTGTTTTTTCTAAATTAAATTATTTTCCTTTAGGGATTTTCTATATAACTAAATATATTGTGAACTTTCGCGATTGAATGTAAATAATATTTTTAAAAGGTTAACTAACTTAACACTATTTTTTTTTTACTAAAAAATTACGGGCTGATCCTAATATTTTTCCAACATTTTTTTCTTTCATTGTTATCTACATATTTCATAGAAAAAATTATATATAGAAGCGGAAGGATCTTATCAAAACTCAAAAATACTGAATATCATTTTTATTATTTCATTATTCCTATATTATAATTATTTAGCCAATAATAAAGAAAATGAAATTATGCAAACGTATTCAAATCTAGAAAATGAAACAGAGGCTGTGAAATGTTATTTTAGAGTACAGTAATGCTAATAACTCCACAAGAATACTCTATTAGTGAAAGAAATCTTAATTCAGTAAAATTTTTAAAATTGAATTTAATATTTGCAGTTTAAACTAGAGCTTTCTCTGTAATCACAATTTCGAGTCTCACATAACAATATTGTAATAATATACCTGAATAACAAGAGAAGTAATTGAAAATACTCACCCAAAATCCAAAAATAAAATATTCACATCAAAGAACTTTCTATATATCTTTTCAAAATTCATTCAAGAAGGCGTTTCTCAGTTTGAATATTTAATATAACTAAGACTTAAACTTAAATTGTTTATTGTTACCGTATCGCTATTGGTTTTAATATTCATTGCAATTGTATTTATTCGTATAATTGAAATGAGTGTCCAAAATTCACGGTCAAAAGTAGAGAAAACGAGTTGAGCATATTTACGGCACTAAATGCGAAATACTAATGACAAGATAAATAAGAGAATTACCAGTTTTAGGAGGAAAAATTTTACAATTTTCCTACTTTGACTCGTTTCTTTGATTACGTCACCAATCTGTTCTGTAGTTGTATGAAACAATTTACATTAGTTTTCTAATGTAAATTCTATAGTTATTCTAATAATTGAATTACCATTTTTCTGCCCTATCTCTGCCATATTTAAATTACAATTATAATATTCGTCCTGCTAATTTGTATTGCGACGATCACAAATTAAAATATTGCAATAATTAACAAATCATATTTGAACTTAAATCTTAGAAAAATTTGTAAGCCACTGTTTTCATATCACTATTTTTTATTATATAATAGTGTTATAGTTTCACTGAAATGAATGAATATTAATTTTCATTTATTTTAATGATTTATGGTCATTTCTTTCTTTAACATCATCCTTTCAGACATATTCTCTCCTTTTCTTTTTCTTTGTATTCCCATATTTTTTACTATTTTTCCTTTTTTTTTTTAATATTTCCTTTAATGCTAATATTCTTGTTCCCGAAAATATTTCAAAGAAAATTCAACAAAAAAAATAAAATGAGCAGATAACCGCAAACAATGTTTCTTGGATTAATGTATATGTGAACAAGTAAATATGTATATACATGAATGTATAAATAAAAATATTAAAATGAATGAAAGTTTTATTAAATGAAATTATAATTATGGTAAAATATAAATCTTTTTATATTAGATTTTTATATTAGATTTAATAAATTATTAAAATATGAAAATATTTTTTTTGTATACAATAAAATGAACACAATTCAGGAGGGGAGAGGGAGTTGATAATAATAATATTCAGACAAAACTTGAATATATTTCCCAAAAATTGTGTTATGCATAAAAATTATATGAAAAAACTAAGTATAGCTTTAAGGATCTTTCTCTTCATTGATGTGAAATTAATATAGCGAATTAGAGAAAATTTTAAGATTGAAAAGAAAGTATACTGTGTTGAAAATTGGCAATCAAAAAATGTAGTTGCTTCATATTATTAAAACATATGTATAACAGTTAACATACATTTTAAAATTCTAAAAAATGCATATTTAGTACTTTTCCAAAAGAATTTTAATTTCACTCTGTTTGTCTCGTCCATTCTTTCGTTCGTGAACATGTTCAAAAAAATTTCTACATCCTTGAAGAAAGCTAAAGTTTTGTATGTACATAGATCTTTACTAGAAAGTCATTTCTTTTTTTTTTTAGAAAATTTTCATCTATTTCTCCCCCTCTAAAAAGTATAACCCCCCGAAGCCCTAAAAAGGCTATTTTTGACTATGTATTTAAAAGAAACCACAAATATTTTTTAAATTCTTTAAAGGTAGAACAGTAGTGGTGAGCTTTTTACAACGCGGCATAGCATATTTAGCTTTAAAAAAATAAAATGGCCGTTTAAATTTAGCGTTATGTAAAATTGTTTTTTTTTTTTAATTTTTTTAAACAATAATAGATAGTTCATTTCGTTGAAGTTATCGCATCTCGAAATTTGTAAAATTCGAATCTTTGGCACATTATATTTCTGAAACTGCAAATTTATGTTACGGTAAACGTCACGCTATTAAAAAATATTAACTCACGCAAATAACCTAAATCCTAAATGTATGCAATTTTTGAAATATATTCATATAGGAAAGAAAGTCTTATTCATATAGGAAAAAATAGAAATATATTCATATAGGAAAAATTTTAATAATGTAGTACAACTCTAGATTCTTTTTAAAAGCACTGTTGTCACTTGTTCATTGGAAAAGTGTTACAATACAAACCATTGATTAGACCCAATTTTATTAAATTACAAAATTAAGATAATATTGTAATTAATGTTATGAATATTAGTAATTGCGATGAAGTAAATAATTCCATTCTATTACACCTAAATCAAATACAAATAAATTAGTGAAAATTGTGCTACATATTTTATATAAAAATAAAAATTTGTTTTTATTAATTATTAATTACATTCTTTTTTTCTTTATCACACATCAATAAACACATTTAACATACTGTTTCAGATCATTTTGCATATCACACCAAATTTTTTTTTTTATTATTTGTATAAAAATATTATTTTTTTTTTAGTTGATATTAAATTAACAATATATTAAAATTTATATTTAAAATAATTTAAATATTACAGTCGAATGCTTTATTATCGCAACCTTCATTCGATTTCTTTTCATTTGAATCACTTGAATTCATTGTATTTGTACTTTGTGGTCCCCAATTTATTGTCGGTTTAAACCATGGTTCTTGACGCTATAAATAAAAATAAAACAAATAATAAAAATAAATAATATGATAATATTAGAATTAACATAATATTATTATTATTATTATTAAATTTATTAATAGAAGCTCATATGTATAACATTATAGTAAAATAATTATGCTAACATTGTATATAATAAAGGAATAAATTCAAATACATGAAAAATTAATTAAGGCACTTCACCACTACTTTCAATAGTAATGAAATTGGTTTTTTTTTATAACAATTCTTCAATAGATCCCTACATTTGCATAAAATTTTTTACAGTCATTTTCAAAGCCTAATTTACGTGCTTGCTTATAATATTGTTTTATTAATCAAGAAATAGGACAAGGAGAAAGGGCAGCAATATCTTTAAAATTTTAAAGTTAAATGAAGTATTGCGTTGAAAAACTCTAATAGTTTTCAATCTAATTTTTAAAATTTTCAAATTAGAAGTGATTTCAAAAATATTAGAATCAATTTATAAATACAGGATATATATAATTGTGTCTATTTAAAAATGCCCATGATTACGAACACAAAACAATTTTTAAATTTTAAATTTTAAAATTTATTGAGGCATTATAGCAATACTATAAGAAAATACAAGATACATATATATGACATTAGAACCACAGTCAAATAGCTCTTTATAAAAATATTAATCTCTGAAATTTATTCCCATAGTGCTCTTACAATACTGCAAAATACTTAATACTTAAATAGTATTTTGTTATTGTCTCATTCTACATCCTTTTTTACTTTTGTTTGGATTTTTTTCGTATTTTATTCTTATTTTTTTAACTTCCTTACAAACTTAACACAATGCAGGACATTATCGAATAACTTTCGAAAGAAAGTTTTTTTTTTTTCGTTATTTTTTACTTATTTTTTGTGTTTTTTGGAAATTTTCATTTTGTGTCTTTTCCTTATAGTTATTATAATATTATTATTAACTATCAACTCCTTCCAAGAGTCTCTTGGGATAGTAAATATTGTATTATAAGAAAATTGAAACAGAAAACAAAAAGAAAAAATTGAAACTAAAATAAAAAGTAAAATAAAATAAAAGAAAAAAATTCAAAAACGTTCTTAAAAAAGTCTACTTAAATTTTTGATGCTGTTAAAAAATTCAAAACTCTTCTTTGGAAAATACAAAATAAAACATTACCAAAATAAAAACACAAAGGAGAGAAAAAGAAAAACACAGGAAGTAAAACAAACAATTTCTTTTGAAAAAAGCAAAAACAAAAAAAGAAACAGGAGAAAACAACAAATACAATAAAAACGGAGCAAAGAAAATAAATAAGAAAAATTTTTTAGTTAAAGAGAATATAAAGGAAAGAGAAGAAGAGCTTCTCTTTCTACGAGCAACAGCAGCTTTAACATTTAAAGTTATTTGGTCCAAAATATTGTTATATCGTATGTTTCAAGAATAAGAGAAAGACGGTTTTTGATACTATTATATTGGTAGCGTAATTATTATTCGTTGTCTAAAATATTTTTCTGATAATTTTCTATAAATTTTTCCATCACAATTCTATCGTATTCCAAATTTTATAGAAAAACATGAAAAATTATAAAAATAATTAAAATTGTATGTTATTCCTTAAACTTCCTTAATATGATTTTAACTTAAGGAAAAATGAGTTTTCCAGTCGAATTAAATTTGTTTTAAGATCTTAATCGAACAACAATTTGCAACGAATAGATAAAATAAAGTGACAACCTAATTAATAAGTTCTGGAGTAACCGTTTATTATAATTTTGAGCTCTCAGTGTATTAACTTTTACTATGTTACTATTACTTTCTACAAAATATTGGAATCAGAATATAATGACGTAATAAATAAAAATGGTGAGTCTCTTTTTCAAGCACTATTTTTATAAGAAAAATCCAAAGAAAATTCCAGCCATTTTCATACTACGTTTTTCCTCTTTTCTTCCAAACGGTTTCTTCTACTCTATTTCATATGCCAAAAACGATATTCTGATATTCCCACTATTTTATACTCTCATTCCCAAATCAAATCTTATTCAACAATATCTCAAACATTTTTCATACACAAATAGATTCTTACGGTATTACCTTGATTCACAGTTGTAAGTATTTAACGCTTAAAACAATTAAGTAATTAGTATTTCGAGAACGAGTTATTTTTAGCAGAAATTGTACTGTATTCCTTTAATTTCTCAAGCTTTAAAAATTAATCCCCAATATGCAAAGACAAAATCAACTTCTAATAATATAAATGCACGGTACAAATTTTATAAAATTGCTGTTTCAAAAAAATTTCAGAAAAAAGGAAAAGGCTAGGTATTAATAACAATTTACTTCGCCAAAATATATGCAATATTTCCAATTTTATGATAAATACTGAATTCAACAATGCGGTAATATTCTCAACTATAACATCTACCAAGTAATGCAACTGTTTGCAAATTATTGTTACATTATTATTATGAAGCAAAATTCAATATAAATTTGCCTGAAATTATGCAATTTTTTTTATAATGAAACTAATAAAAATTATTTTAATGTTATCATTATAATAGCTAAATTTATATGATTTACGTGATTAAATAGGGAAATATTATCTTGCTGCAAATTGTAGTGCGTAACTATTAATGTCACATATCTAGGTACATGTACTTGAGTATGCTTAAAGCTTATTCAGTTGATAGTAAATTTTGTACAACAAAATTTTATAACAGATTTAATTTTAAATTATTTTCCAATTTAGCTATTATTTATATTATTTATTTAAGAATTTTCTTATTAATTAAATTTTTTTAGATTTTGTCATTTTTGGGTATATTTTTATCTATTAAATGGAGCGTACTATTCCCAACTATTTAAAATTCTTTATAATAGCATAAAATACTTAAACGGCATTAGTGTTAGTAAACTAACTATGATAGCAAATGTTACGTTATTAACACTTACTAATAGTGTTAATAAACTTCTTAGGCAAAATATATCATATTTTTTTTTGAAAATACCACGAAATAGTAGTTTGTTGTATAAATGTGAATGTAATTGTGTGAATTTATTCACGATTATAATTATGAACGTAGTGCTGCCGAAATAAATAATTAAAATGATGAACTATATATGATTGTATTCCTACACATGCATATTTTTAAGCACAAATAATATTATTGACTATAAATTTGAAATTAAATTTCATAAATTTGGGGTCAATGAATCTTCGTTTTTTAAATGAAAAAAACATGTAATTAATTTGAAATGGGGAATATTAACAATCAGATTGCTATCATAGAAAAACCAAAACCAAATTTATTTTTTTTTTTTTTTTTGAAAGGGTTGGCTATCATATTTCCTGTTTAGTGTAGATTTTTCTTAAAAATCAACTGTACAATATTATTTTCTTGTGATTATTTTTTTTTGTTTTCTTCAAAAAAACGAAAAAAATTATTTACTCTTATATTCTGTTTTAGTAGTTTGTTTTTATTTGTGTAATCGCTTTGCAGTACACAAGAAACATAGTAAAAGTTTTTCAAAAGGAACAAAAAATCAAAAAAAAAAAATTCAAACAGGAAAAAAGTTTCATAGGTTTTTTTCTTTTTTCTTTAGTTTTGCCTCCCTTCTTTTTCTTTTATTTCCTTTTTTACACTGATTTATGTCAGTATTTTATAAATATTTGCTTGTATTTAAGTATCTACACATCTACATATACACATACACATCAGTTTATTTTAATAGTTTGGGAAATATTATCTCATTTCTGTTTATGAAAACAGTGTTCCTTTCCAATTTCTTTTGGTCCTCTTAGTTTTTTTTTTAATATTCTTGCCTTTTCATTTTTTTTTTTACTTTTTCCGTTGTTGTCGTAAGACGATTTAATATTTATTTATAATTCGTCAAGTTAGCACTTTTATTCTATATAGTTTTATATTTTTATTGAATACATACATACATACATATATATGATAATAAAATGTTAAAGAAAATTAAATGTTTAAAGTTTATGACTTTAATAAAAATTATAATAATGAAAATATGAGGAATGAATGGGAGCGGCAATATTATACTGTTTATTTTTAATGATTTCTTGGAATTTTAATAGAAATATTAAAAATAAATATGAATTTAATGAGTATGAGTTTTTGGAATTTTAATTAATGTTAATAAATCGAAGATAAAAATATAGAATTTAAATAAATAAGTCATGAAATGTCTATATTTCTATTTAAACATTTTTTAGATTCTAAATCACGAAATATTTATGTGTTATATAATTATTATAGCTTAGAGCACTTTAAATTTTTAATACCTATATACAAGCTCTACCAGAGGTGAGGACAAGAGAGACATTTGCCGTGCACCTCACTATCTCGTGTGAACTCAAATTAGCAACTTAATATTTTAAACAAAATATTTCAATTTGAGAATATGTCTTAAACTAATAGAAAAATAAATATTTGCATTTGCGCGTAAGTCACAATGGAAAAATTCACGATGAAAAAAGATGAATAACTAAAACTTTTTATCTACAATGTGTAAGGAAGAACTAAATGGAACTGCAACTATAAGCATTAATTTTGAAAATAACACGTTCTTTACATTATTAGGACATAATTATTAAATTTTAAATGATATGAAAGCGCGAAATTTTAGATGATAAACCCTATATGTAATAATTAAAAATAATATTAAATAGATTAAAAATTTAAATATTGCTTTTGTTCCGTATATTTATACATTATATTTAAAAAATTTCAGGACCTCTAATTCATTTATTTGCAGGAAATAACAGATATATCAGTTGCCTCAGGTCTTGAATTTTTTGTGAAAACTCCTGCCTATATAGATTAAGAGTTTACAATGAACATGGGTGAATTTTAATAAAAAATCTATCGTTTCCAAGACGATAATTTTTCTTGGAAAAATCCTTATACTGTAATACAAGGAAAATCATTTCAATTATATTTTTTGTAAATTAGTTATTGATAGTAAATTACAATTAATTTTCGATTTAAGTAATATTATATTCTAATATCAATAATAAATTTCAATTTAGCCATAGGATTTAAATGCAAATAAAATATTTACTATTCTGTGAATCAGAACAATAGCAAATTGTTATAACGGATAAAAATTTATATCTTTTTTTTTTCAATATTCGATACATACCGTAAGTTTAATCAGCTACTTAAAATTATAATATTTAATTACATTAAAATTTACGTAACATTATTAGAGAATTTTAAATAATTATTATAAATTTGATTTTGTAATTTTATGCATTACAATTTTTCTTATCAATTTTTTATAGAAAAACATTATACCACAATAAAATTGAAATTTTATTGTTATAATGAGGTTATTGGATGTGGTTTGATATTTTTTATTTAAAAAAAAAATAAAGTGTTTTTCAAAATTTATTTTTACCACAACTTACTCAATATAATTAAAATGGTTTAACATACACAAGCATTTTATAATATGAATGCGAATCCTTTTAATAATATGCATTTTATATTAAATTATAAATAATTTATTAAAATGATACAAAAAAAATAATCTAAAAACTGTTATACATATTGTGCACATTAAGATTAAAAATTTTAGAGAAAAATTTTTATATACATACCAGTTTTGAATTAAATAATCTATAAATAATTGCAATCGGAAATGGAGCTAATGTTGATGCACCAATCATCCATCCAAGTGCATCAGCCCATCCTGGAAATTTATAATCACGGAATTCTGTTGGTTTTATTTCTGTCATTGTAAAAACGAACACCACCTTTTATTTATAGAAAATTGTGTAAAAAATAGAAAAAAAAATATTTAGAATTATTTTGTAATGTAAAACATAGTATATTAATTAATAATTAATGTATTTAAAAAATTATATAAATTGAAAATTATAAAAAATATATATAAAAAAATTTTAATGATGGATCCAAATTGTTGATGAGATTAAATGTCAACAATGGATACAGGTTTTTAAAAATCTTCGAAATATAATCACATTATTTATTAATTATTAAAACATGCGAAGCTATAAGCCTAACATGTCTAGTAGTTGCAAACATCATTGAAAAAATTCCAGTTCGTAAATTTATTTACAAATATTTTAAATTTTAATGACAAAATGTTAAGCTAACCAATAATATTGCACATAAACATAACTTGTATAAATAATAGAACACTTTGTCCTAAAATAAAAACCAATAAGGGGTCATCATCCTTATAGAAATGTGATAAATTTTATTATTAGTAACGAGTACACTTAAGGCTCTGTAGTAAAATTTTGTATCTTGGCCGCCAGATGTCGTACAGACATATTACAAAAAAGTAATCCTAAATTTTATAGAAGAGCTTAAAAATAACAAAAAATATTTGAAAAATATAGAACTTCAAAATCCAAAAAAAAAGTAGGATCCAAAAAAAAATAGTGCAACTTTTCATAATTTTTTGTTGATTTTTCAGTTTATGTTACCAAGGTAAAAACAACGGCCGATTAACATGATGTAATCCCTTTGAACAGTTAAACATACCACAAAAATAACAATCTAATTCTAATACAAGAAATTCAGAAAAAATTAATTTAGGAAAATGGAAAAATAAATTTTAAACCAACATTAGGAAAAACACCTAATTTACATTGCTTTAAAATACTTTAGATAAAAATATCTTTCATTACCCAATATTTTTAATAAATTCTGACTAATTATGCATATAGTCCTGTCTATTTCATTCCAAGAGTAATTTATATTTTATGATTTTATAAAATTTTTATTATTAAATTCGAAGAAAATATTAAATCTAAAATGTTAAAATGTGCATTCAAAGATATTTTATTTTAATTCAATAAAAAAGCTCCTATGTACCAGTATTTGCATATAACAATGCAGAAAACTGCATAAAACTCTATGTATTTGTGTCATTATTGAAGTATTTTCACCAATTTTGTGTCCCACATACGATCCAATGTACTTTTAGTTTAAAATTAAATTTGAATTTTAACCAATATACCGCATACTGTCTGTCATTTACAATAAGAGAAATGCAAAACCACTCAAATTTTTTTGGGAAAATTTTTTAACTAAATGCAAAAAAAATCTTCTTCAGACAAACACAATAGCAACCATTATAAAAAAAAAACTTTTCTTACAATTTTAAACCCGAATCCATCATTGAATTTTAAATAAAAATTTAGAACTGAAACCAATTAAAAAGAAATGAAAAAAGAAAAAGTTCCTGCTTCTGGTTTTATTCCAATTCGATTCGAAAAAAAAAAAAATTAAAAATTAGTTTGAAATTTTTTCTATGACCTTTCAGAATTTTTCAAAATCTAAAAACAAAAACAAAATTTTTATAACCTCCCAATGTTAAAATCATTTTATTCTATTTAATATTCAATATTGAAAGCCATTAATATTAAAATGAAAAATTTTAAAATACACACATTCATATGTGTACATACATTTACATACAAAATATATTAAACACAAAATACACATTGGTTACGAGTATAAACAAAAATTAAAAATAATAAAAAGAAAATTCTTAAAATGTATATAGGTGCTTACCACAGATGCAATTGGTGTAAGAACTACCAAAACACATTTCCAATAATATCGTACCAAACAATTGAATTTAATGCCCATATCAATGAAATTATTTAAAGCACGATCCATTCCATATACCCACGATATAATGACGACCTATAACATTAAAACGATAAAGAAAATATATATTAAAAAAAAGAAAATATAAAAGAAAAATGAAAAATATTTTGTAATTAAAAATCTAGTTATCGAAACCATTTTATGCGAGGGTGTTATAATAATGTTTACCTTTTAATTTAATACAGAAGTTAAATAGTTATACAAAATATATTTACAAAAAATCAAAGAAAAATTAAAAAAGGAAAGGAAAATTAAAAATTATACTTCCATAAAACCCAAATATATTTTTAACCATAATTTTTCTTTTTTGCTCTCTCTCTCTCTCTTCCCTTTTTCACTTTCTCAGACCTTTATTTAATGAATTCATTTTCCAATATACATAGGTGTTTTATATAAAACATTCATGCTCTCTCCCTCTTTTTCATCCATACCCTATTTTAATTTTGTTATCGAAACACCATGAATAATGATTTTAATCATTTTCTAAAATATTTGGTAAAGTGTTTGTTATACGCACATTATAATTCGATATTATTTGTTAATCTAATAAAAGTCATCATTTCAACCGTTAATATAATATTTTATTTTTCTGCTATATAAAGTACATATATATATATTTTCATTATAATTTCGTTATAATTTTATGTTAGTTTAACATTATCACGTAAAAAACTGTTCAATTATTACTGTAATTTGTGTAAGTAATACACTTGGAGAAAAAAATTATGCGGAAAATATTATACGAGTACAATGAAATGATATTCAAAGTGCCTAATATTTAGTGGCTTTTGCTCAATTACATTATTTGTATATACCAATATAGCAGCCCTAACCTGATTTTCTAAATGATCATTAGTTTCTTGATTTGTGAGTAGATTGTAGTTTCTTGTGAAGGCATTTTGACGAGAGTAAAATTCTAGGAGATAAATTGAAATAATAGAAATCTCATAAAAACTCTAAGGCTAAATTTTTTTTTTTTTTTTTTTTTTTTTTCCTTTGTTCACTCCTAGAAGGAGCATAGGGCTAGTGCATGATTTCTCATGCACTAGTTTCATAGCGTCATAGGGTTTAACTAGGTAGGTGACTAGCCTGCCGTAGTTTTTATTTATATATTAATTATTTGAGGTTATTAATATTTACTATTTATTTTTCTTAATTTTTTTTTTTTAATATGGAATATTAGGAATATTTGAAAATTACTTGTAATATTCAAATATATAATTACTATTAGTATTGTATATTAAGTTATAATAATATTGAATATAATTTTTATAGTGACCTGACCGGGGTTTGAACCCGAGACCCTTCGGTTAAAGGACCGGTGCCATAACCACTGCACCAATGGTCAGATCTAAGGCTAAATTAGTCGCGATAAATATGACAGATTCTAAAGAACTTTTTTAAATCACTATAGTAATTCGCTAAGTATAACAGAGTAAAATTATGTATCAACAATTTTTGTGAGAGTAATTATTCTAAGCTCAAATATAGAATTTTTTAAAACTACAATGGCAAGTGTTATAATTTATATAGAAATGAAATTATAGAGTTTCTGTGATTTCTTTGAAAGGTATTTTAACATATATCATTTAATTTACAGGTTGCAATAGATTTCTAATTAAATAGTCTTGTCCGCACGTATTTAAGTATTTTAATAATTTTTCGCACAGTGTAAAATTTAAAAATTTAATATTAAACTTTTTAATATTTTTGTAATATAAATTATATAGTTTTCCAATATTAACAATATTAATACACTAAATATTTAGTAGAAAAATTTTCAATACATAGGAATTGAGTATAACATTAAATCAGTTGATTTTTTCTACCAAAATGTATAAACAAATTACAATAATTATTATACTACTCACTCGTACTATTATACATATAAGTACTGTTATATAATAAAAATAATTCGCAATAATCAATGAAAATAACTTTGTGGTCGCATTCAAAATAATAAAAACAACAATAAAAATAATGAATATTTTCCTTCCCATCCCGAATAAATTATTTCTGTGTGCTTGTGTTCCTCAATAAATTTGTATATTTATAAAATTTTAACTGTATATAGCAACACTATAACATAAATGAAATGTTTGTATTAAAAGAAACCATTTTTGTTTTCCCAACATTAAATAAAACTATAGCATCTAGATAGCCTCAATTTTCTCTACATAACTGTATGTGTATATAGTGGCTACTAACTTTTCAGTAAATTCATTTTAATATTTCAACAACTTTTATTAAATTTTTAGCAAAAATACCAACTACAATTTGCATATAGTGCATATACCTATTCATAATTATTATACGGTATAATATTATATGTAGTACATTAAATCTCTGTAGTTAAAATATTATAATGTACATTAAGTGTGTATCGTGTACCATATTAAAGTACCCACACTCTTTGTTAAAAAATTTTATACGCCAACACTTTGCCACTTGTTACTTTATTTTATATATTTTACATAATGTTCGACATTAATTTTGGTAATGGGTATACACCGTTGAAAAATTGATTACAAAAAAATTTAATTGGTAACATAGTGTTGCGGTTCCGAATGAAAAAAAAAGAAAAGAAAACAAAAAAATTGTGTATTAAAATAAGCTAACAATAAAATTACAAAAAAAAAAATAAAAAAAAAATTATCAAAATGAAAGTAAGTGTGAAAATGGAAAATGAAGGAAAATGGTCCACTGGTAACCGAACGAAAAAAAAAATAAAATTGACCATTCATTATTAATGACATTAATAGATGTTTCAATTTATTGCCGGTAGATGGTACAAATTTTATAAATCATGGAACCAGAAAAAAAAACTATAAAGCTTTGAATTAAATACCAAAAAAAAAAATGGTGAAATATAAGGGTGAAAGAAGTAAAAGCACGTACGGATAATGCTTGCTTGCGTACAGATTTTTAATGCATTAAATTGAATGTATTACATACTATACATACGTGCATACATTTAAATTATTAGCAATATGGTTTTATTCATTTATTATAATTATGGGTGTAGGTTAATTTCAACATAGATCTAAAATTAAGTAATTGAACAAAAAATATTTTTTTTATACTCGCGATTTATATGCGAACAATTTTTTAATAAAGGCAAATTTATAAATGGCAAAATGGAAAAATTTATCCTTTTTATATAAAAGATACTAATTAGGAATTTTCCATTTGAAAATTTTTTATCGCATATTTTTAAAAATTTTTTTTATATTATTAAAATCATGGCATTGTTAAAATTTTTAAGGTCATTTTCAAGAAGAAATTAAGGAAGCAAATATCTTTAGCTGTCGCATAGTATTGTAGTATTGCTAAGGTATAGTATGAAATGTCATATTTTGAAATTTTAATAATGCACAACAATATTTCAAATACGAGTAACTGGGAAAAAAAATTTAATTTAAAAATAATGTAAACTGTATGAATTTTATACCTCAGCGGTACCCAATAACAAAATAGCCCATGATGCTGTATGCCATTCCATTAATGTAAATGCATATATTCCACCATTACAAACCATTGGTAAAGCAGCAACAAAACATCCAAGACAAACACCAGCAGTTACTTTCCATCTTTGATTTCTTAAATGTGGCCAATGATCAACAAGTGATGTACAAATAGCTTCAATACCACCAAATTGTGAACCAATACCAAGAACAAACATCATTAAAAAGAATAATATTGCCCAGAGCGGTGCAATTGGCATTAATAAAACAGCCTAAAAATTGAAATTATTAATTAAAATGAAAAAAAAAGAGTTTACATGTAAATTTAACTTCAAGTACATTTTAAGTAGAACGCGGTTATAATTGAGTTTAATATTAAAGGTCTTTTATTTTGTGGTAAATTTTAAGAACAAAATTTAGAAATAACTGAAAATTTACTATACATATTCCTCATCTATTATATTTTAGTAAAAGACCACAAATGCTTAAGTTAAGAATTTACTTTGATTGTTGTTTTTTAATTGAAAGAAGAGTCATTGAAGATTTTTCAATTTGAAAATTTTATTAATAAAATGAATGACTCTTTAGAAAAATTACTCATTGCCTTATTGAAGAGTAGTCGTTCGTGATTTTGATCGTAATTAAATTTCACTTGAATTTCAAATTTTTGATTAAAAATTTATGATTTTATACAAAATCTTCGAGTTTTTTAAAGGTTTATTAAAAATATACTTTAATGGTATTTTAAAATATTTAAATTATAATAAATTTAGTACCTCAGGATATGCAATAAATGCTAAACCAGGACCAGATTGTACAACATCTCCGACAGTCGTTTCTAAATTATGTGCCATAAAACCTAATACAGCAAATACCGTAAAACCAGCAAAAACACATGTGAAAACATTTGTAAATGATACAACCACAGCATCTGTATGAAAATTATTATTAAACTAAAATAGAAATATAAAACAAAAAGAGGAAATTTTAGTGGAAAATAATTTACTAAAGAAAAATTTTAGTGGAACATAATTTCTTTTGGTTTCTTACCTTATTATAAGATGAGAACGCTACAAGTGAACCGCATGCCAATCCAAATGAATAAAATATTTGTGATGCAGCATCTCCCCATACTGCCGCTGATAAAAGTGTATTCCAATCTGGTTGTATATAAAATGTTATACCATCTAATGCACCTGGTAAAGTTGCACCACGTACCTTAAAAAAAAATTATTTCAAAACTTTAATATTAAAGCGAAATGATTTTTTTTGAGTCAAAAATTTAGAGTCACAAAATTTTATTAAGTGATAATTAAATTGCAATTATAGGTAATTTAATCAACTGTGCCGGGTATCACCACTTGTACCAATAATATTTTGCACCATGTTATTCATTTGTATTTTACCGTTACTCTAAAATATTGAATACCTTCATATAATTATTAAACAAAATATGTATCCATTTCTTTGATCACGATTTTTAATTTCAAAATTATTATAGAAATTTTCTAAAAATATGTGCGATATCTTCATCCTGAATATATGCAATTTTTTACCTTAAAATATTGTACACTCATGACAAGCAATTTTTCAATACCATAATATTTTAAACGCGATTCTATAAAATATGTATGCGGTAAAACCAATTGCACTAGAAAAAAAATTGCCTTTAAATGCGTTTTATTAAAATTTAATTTAAAAAATAATGAAAAATTTCTACTCAATTAAATTTTTACGGTACAGACATAACAAAAAATAGCTATACTAAATAATAGATTTTTTTTTTCTTTGCTTTTTTTATTGAAAAATATAAAATTTAGGCAAAAAAAATGGAAATCGAAAGAATGTACATCAAGTCTAAAAAATTATTCAACGATACACTAAAAATAATAATTGTCTACGGCCCCACAAAAAAAATGCCTTAAAAGAGGCAAAAATCATCTTAATTCTAATAAGAATTTCAAAACTGATAAATGTTATCCAGGTACCAAATTACGCAATACAAAATTACTTTAAAACAAAGAAAAATTCAAGTTTATAGTTCATATTGTAAGTCGTGTATAACAGTAGACTTATAAGCATTCTTAAAAAGTACATAATATGTATACACAATTAAATTTGAAAAATACAAAATCCACAAATAAACTTTTCATTTGGGTTAAGCAAATTCTGCGAAAGAGAGCATTTTCGGTTAGACGTTTGAAATAAGCATATACATATGGGTTTTTTTTTATAAAAATAAAATCTTTTATCTAGTCGTATTTGTCAGTATTTAATATTGAATATATAAGAGGGTATATTAAGTATAGTTAGGCTTAAAATTGTGCTCTAGTTTTTTACATGAGAAACTCTTCTACGTATTTGAAAAATTTGTTACTATATTAGGTCTAATAAGGTAGGTATTGATAGTTTTGACAGCATACAATAAATTTCTTGCCAAATGAAATATCTAAATTCTTCTTCTTTCTACTATGTATGTTGTATATTATTATCCGCTCACTTAACAAACACTTATTTCCCCATGTTTCGAAAATAAACAACTGAAATTAACTGAAACTAACATGGGTAGAACAGGTTCGTACAAATGAATATTAAAATTATAATTTAATTATTGTTTCACTAAAAAATACTTTTAAATTGTAATTGATTTTAAATTTTTAATTTTTATTGCGTTTTCACTTCAAATATTTTGAACAAAATTAACACTTTTTTTATGGCTTTTCAAATAGAATATTTTATTCAACTAAATTGTTAATGTGTAATTAACCAAAATTGAAATCAATTAATTTTGCAATTTTAATATATTTTTTTTTTTAATATTTTAATTTAATATCATTCTTATATCCAAAATGAAACTAGTATTAACATTTTTTTCTGTATAATAATATAGCAAGTTATATAATAATAAATAAGAATATTGCTTTAATAAAATTTTGTATTCTAATATTATTGTATAACACAAAATAAAATTATTGAAACCTCCAAAAATCTCTTATTAATTATAAACTTGTGGTCATTAATTTATTCAGATATCTCTATATTCACATACATACACAAATGCATACAACTGTTTCTCAAAATTTTGTTTTAATTCAGAATTATTATTAAAATTTACAATAAATAATCGTATGTATGCATTTATGTGTATTTGTATAGCCTAGATTACAACCATTAAATATTATGTTAACATTAACTAATAAAATTTTACATTTACACATATACTGTAATAAAACTGTTTAAGAATCTTTATCTCTTTTTGTTATTATTATTATTATATTCCGACTTATTATTCTTTAATGGAAAATTTTTAATGAGAACCATGAAATTTTAATGTAACCATCGCATACAAGAAGTTAAATATTTCATTCTCTCCACATACTATTGTATATAATGCATATATACATACTTTATTTAGATTATTCTTTAATGGGTAATTAATATGTTTAAAATCTTTTAAGTTATGCACATTAGCCTTTGCATTAAAAATTTACATAGTTATACTGAATAAACATAATAATATAAAAATAAATTTTGTGAATAGACCTTAGTACTCGTAATTAAATGTTATACACATTTAAAATGCATTATGTTATACACATTCACATAGTATAAAAGAAATGTATATTGTAAAATGATATGGAAACAAAATATAAAATTTTGTCTTTCCCTTTACTTAACACTTTTCTTTTTTGTAACTTTTACAAAAGTATTTTAATACTCGTAAAACAAATTTATGCATAAGGATAAAAACTCTAATAAAATATGTTAACTCAGTCCTACAAAGATTATTCTAACACAATCCAATACAGTTCTTTGTAAATATAATCTAGAGCAGCTTATAAACTAAATCAACGAATTTATTGTATAATCAATTCTTTGATTGCAATAATGAAATTTTTTATTGAATTCAGAACAGAATAATGCACTAATAATGCAAAAATCACATTAAAAAATTATGGATTACTTTAATTGCGTTACATAGCTCACAAATTTAATGCTCAAACTGCTACTATAGACAGAATCTAGAGAAAATTGTGAAAATTCTCGTTTATGTAAATAGGTTAATATTATTAACAATTTAAATGAGCAGTCAACTCATATAATAATGCCAAGTCTGACAATCAAAATTTGCTGTTAAAATCTTACAGTTACATGATGTGGTAAGAAAATTTTATGTTATTGCATCGATAAAACTTTTTTATTGTCATAAATACCATATAAAATCCAATTGGATTGTAAAACTAATCTAAACTCCATTGTAAACAATCCAAGTTTTTTTTCATATCGTTCTCATAAATTTAACATATAAGATAAATAAATTATTATGGATTCCCCCTATATGAATGTAAACTTATTAATCTTTTTATCTTTGTTTTGTCCTCCCTACATTTTTAACTTAATTTTCTTTTTATAAATGTGCATAACATACTATATATATATGTATATGAATATAATTTAATTTAAAAATTTTTTTTCCCTATATTTTTTATTAACACTTACAATATTATGCATATTTGTATATACTTACCAACAAAGCTGTCAACATAACATATGGAAAAAGTGCTGTAAAATAAACCACTTTACCGGCACTTTGAATTCCCTTAATGAGACAAAAAAATGCAATTAACCAACCAAGTAGAAGACACAATACCAACTGCCATCTAGGATATCCCCAATTAGTCCAATCTGTATCATCATTTATTCCGAGGACATACCGGCTAGAATAATAAAAAGAAAACGAAAAGAAGAGCATGAAAAATCAAATAAAAAATTTAATGAAAAAAGGAATAGAGTAATTTTTTTTTTCAACATTTTGCTTTTTAAACGTTATGCTTTTTGTTTTTTTTTTTTAAGTACATCCGACCATCTATACATTCAAGAGAATCTACATACATAATATTAATATATTCTACTTAATATGCTTAACATGTACTGTGAGAGTATAATTTCAATATAAAATAGAATATGCAAGCCTTGACATTATACAGTGTGTAAGTATGTTAAAAAAAATGGAAGAAGAAAAAATGCTATTCAAACAAAAACTTAAAAAAGAAATGAAAATAATTTTAGTAAGAAAATAAGTTGAAAAAAAAAAACACGAATAAAAAATTATTGTTAACTTGAATAATTCGTGGGCATTGTGTTGTGTAACATAATAATAAACAGAAATCGTTGAATCGTAAAATAACAAAGGACAAAAAACACAAGAAAATAAGCGAAAAAAAATCTACTACAATGAAAATTTATAGACAAGTAAATTACACTTTAAGGTGCCTATATGGCACAGAATTGTGTTGACTTCCATATTGTTAAAATTGTATGAACTTAGGCAAAATATTACCTACAATTTTTTTTATAAAGAAATTTTCAATTCCGAACCAATTCCGTATTGTTTAAAGATAATTTTGAATGAAAAGGAAAAAGCGGAGAGCGGCTCGAAATGAAAGTCGATGTCATAATTTGAGTGATAAACAATTTATTTTTGACAAATTCTGCCACTTTCTACTTATATTGTAACATAATGATCATTTACGAGAATGTCAAGATATACGATAATTTAAATTTCAATTTCTTAAAATTTTTTACGTTACAGAATTTTCGTAATAATAATGAAGTTTGGCGGCTATTACAGACAATTTAATAAATGATGGAAGCCATAGGATTAAGACACGTGTGAGAAAGACATATTATAAAAAATATACAAGAATCTTTAAATCTATGTGCATTTTTATAAAGGAACTTCAAATAATAAAGGATCACATTATTGCTTTATATTATTCTTTTCTCTTGTTTACAAAGACTGTCTGCATTATTTAAAAAACATAAAGAAAATTATTTATAAAAAAAAAAACAAATCCTTTCATTTTAATTTAAATGATGTCATATAGAGTTCATTCTTTTAAAATAACAATAGTAAAGAGAAAACGATTAAGAAATTAAAGTTGTGCTTGTAAATTTTTTGTAATAATGAATGAAGATTTTTTTATTTTTTTAAATTTGAATAAATTCTTAAATTTTTTAACAAAAAATTGCATATATTAACACCTTTTTTATATAGTGTTATTTTTACGGTCAATCATTAAAGTAATCATTTATGCATAATTTAAACACTAAATTAATATTCAAACTTGAAATGTTTGAAGTTTTTAAACCTTGGCAAATTTCTTCAACTAATTTATATTCTTGATATCGGACAAACAATATTTTAAAATAAATTATTCTTTTTTCAAGTCAGAACAAAACTTCGAATTGATTATTCACTCTCTTGTAAAACTCTATATACTATTTGTACCGACCATATTGCTCCTATTGTATACGAAGTTATGTGATAACACCAAATTTCGGATGTCGAGTTTTCAGTGTTAACGCGCTTCTACACAATAGGGAAGCATTAATAAGCTATTTTTAGGTAGATGTGGGCCTGTCTGCGTGCATGTGTCTCAAATTCGGCGGAACCGATTTTGATGAAATTTTATATTTGAGTTTATTTCGGCTATGTAACGGTTTGATCAACTTTTGCGATATATCAGGAAAATAAATCTTTTTCCAGGGACGAATTTACATTTTTACGCATGTAAAGAGAAATAATTAACCAATTTTCTTATAATATTTGAATTCGCAATGTTAAAACAAATGAATCAGGGGCTCGGGAATCGAACTAGGGGCCGATTTTACAATAATTACCATATTTACTAATAAATGGAATTGCTGAAATTTAATATTTTATTTCCGGCTGTTACCGAAAATAACTGGCGACTTTTTCAATGAATTCGGAAGGCAGAAAGTGAAACTCAACTAAAAACCAAATTTAAATTTTTTAAAGAATGCTAGCTCAAAGCTGACTAGCGTTCTTTAAATTGTGAATAAGTGCTTAAAACGCATTTTCATAATGCATTTCTGCTATGATATTTTCACTAACCAGAAAATATACATTATGGTGAGTTATGTACCGACCATAATAGATTTTTCATACTATGTATTGTTGACATAAGAGAAATAATTCCTACAAATTAAGTTTTTCTTAAAAACTAAAAGTTTTCAAAATTTTTTTTGAATTTATAATTTTTGTTTGTTAAAGTTTTGTGTTTTGATTGAGTTAGGCAACAACACATTGTGTCTGGATTTTCTGGAAACAACTTTTGTGTGATTTAACAATTTATTTTAAACAAAATTGAGCCCGAATTCTTTTAAATCAGTTAAAGATTAAAAATTGAAAAAAATAAATGAGATGCAAGTAGACATGAGAATATTTTATAGTCTAGAAAAAATTACGTAATCAACCGCATGATGGAGAAATAAATTTAATTAATTCAAACAAATAAAATTGCTAAAATTGAATTATTAATTTTTTTCTCATTCCCTAATATGCTTACAAGTCAATTAATTACATAAAATTAAGTTATGACTACAAAAACTTTTCCAATAAAATTGACAAATTTTAGTCTAACAAAAAATTATCACCACTACTGACATTAAAAAAAGATTTTATTATTTACTTTTTACATACTACTTACTTAAATAACTTAATCTGAGACCAGATTATGACTCAATTTTGAAGTATATTTTAAAAATTAAATAAATTAAGTAATAAATATTAATTTTACTTATAAATGGACAAAATTTCAATAATTTTTTTTTTAATTTCATTAAGAATTTTTATTTTAAGTGACCTCAATATAAATTTATATATTATGTATAAAAGCTTTTATAAAAATACATTTTTATAGAATATTATTAAAGTTTATTCACTCTCAGTCAATATTTTGGCGTCATGGCGGATAACATGAAAGTCTAAATCCCAAGACACATATTATATAAATCTTTTTGATTTATTCTACTGAAAATTAGGTCAAGCTTTTTAAAAATTAATTCACTTAATAATAGCGCATATTACTATAGAGAAAGAGAACAAAAAAAACATATAACATTTTTCAGTTCTCCTCATATAACACTAGAACAGTGTAAAGACTTGTATATTTTGATTTTTTGGAATTGATTACAAAAAATTTATTAAAACTTACATATAATATTGTTAATTACAATAATATTGTAGTACTTAATGATAATTGTATAATGTTTAAGTCAGAAATCTGTAAAATATTACACGTAATAAGGAAAATTTAAATATTTAAGATTTCATTCAATTGAAATCATTTTAATGCCACTTTAACAATTTGTCTAAAATTTTTTAGTAATTAAAAATTTAACAATGTAATATGAGTTAAAGAATTATATAATATATTCTATAAATACATAAAATGAGCTTCCAATTATCTTTACAACTCTGTTAAATCTCCGAACACTAATAAATAAAATGTTGTATAAAAATATTTACACAACATTTGGATTTCCTTTCACATTTTGGATTCAGATTATTTTTTTTTCTTCTGTTTTTAATTTCCTTTTTGGTTTATGTTCCATTTTATTATGTTATCCTCGAGAAAAGTTATATTTTTTCTATTTTTATGGTTTTACTGTGTTCTATGGAATACAACAACGGGAAATACAATAACAAAATACTTTTGTACATGGCTATTTGGAAAATTTACCGAAATTACTTGATCGAGAATTAAAATATTTGTAATAGTATGAAAATAGCAAGTAAAACCTCCTATTTACGGAATAAATTAATATTTTTTAATATTTCCAATAATAATAATAATATTGAAACTAAATTGTTAAAAACGTCATCCAAATACAAATGAATTCATTATAATGGTATTCATTCCTTATTGATATATCAAAACCCTAAAATTATGCAATTTTTTCGTGAACTCATCCCTAATATTTTAAAAATTTAGTGCTTTTTAATTCTCTTATTTTTTGCTAAATCTTAATGCAATTATAAGGCAAAATGAAGGAAAATACCTTTACTATGTCTTTTGATTCCCGAAATTTGTCCCCCATTTCAACCAAACTGCATTACTCGTTTGATTTTAGTTGCCTTATCATATTATAAATTTGAAGAAATCATGCCAAATTTGCAATATTGCTACAAATACCCACTTAAATTTCTTAACAAATAAAAAATAAAATTTCAATCAAATATAATGTTAAGAAACTTCTTTTATAATAAAAAATTAAAGTTAAATTTTGCAAGAAAATTCGCGCAACAAAAATTATTTACAATAAGAAAGGATAAAGTTGTAAAAGAAAATTATTAATAAAAGCAGGGAATTTGATTTTTACGATTTTTCAAATTAAATTTTTCCATTTTCACATAAAGAGAAAAAAAAAATTAAAACATAATCAAATTTTAATTGCTATGGTGAATACTTGAACTGGTAGATAAAATAAATGTTATATAAAAATGTTAAATTAATTGCAAGAGAATGTATACTTAGTTATAATATTAAGTTAGAGTGTTACCATATAGGTACTTGCTAAGCGAAATTCTTAAAATTTTTTGTAAAATTTTTTTAAGAAAATGCTCAATTTTAAATTGCAAAATTCAAATGTAGACTTAAAGGAGATGTTCAAGGAATGTGTCTTCAATCATTTTGTAAATGTACTAAAAGAAAGGTATAAATAATATAAAACTGTTTGTAAGAAAAGATATTTTCATTGGAAATACACTTATGACAGTAACACTTTTAATTAAAACAAAAAAAAAAATTTAACAGAAAATTAAAACATTTGAAATGCCTAGGGAAATGTGAATACAGGCGTCCCCTGAATATTAATTTCTTGCCCGTGTATTCACTTTAAAATCTTTGCA